TCTTTTCCAATTCAATCTCATATATAAAAATGGATGTTTGTTGGTTGGTTGGTTGGTTGGTTGGTTGGTAAGTGAAAAACTTCTACATCGCTCAACCGATCATGATAAAACTTGGCATGTATAAGTAATTTTTCATAGAGAAGGTTTTTAGGCTATCAATTTTTCTGTAACTCGCCACTAGATGGCGCTATAGAACAATTTTTCAAAGCACTGTTCTATAACGCTACGCCTAAGTTCGTTGATTCTGATTCTGTCAAAACATTGAAACAGCAGCGATACAGCAACATAGTACTAATCAGTACTGTAACTACCAAATTCTACGCAGGCGAAGCCGCGGGCAACAACTAGTACGATATAATGATGATAGTTTCACGCTACCAAATAAAATTGCTGTTCATACTTGCCCAAGCCTAAAAATGTATTCATAGTATTGTGGCACAAAACCGATTCAGATTCATCGGGTGGATCATAATTGGCCGTGTTCATATTAAATTCTTTTGTGATATATCAAAAACGTTTCATCAACAATATAATATTAGTCCCGATTTTGTCGAACATATAAATCATAAAATGTAATTAGTTTTTACTAACGAGATACTATATTTTTCACTGGAATCGAATTTTCATGCTACCGAATGGAAATTCATTATTGAACAACATGAATTTACATTCTGTTGGACAATTGAAAATGTAACCAGTTGATAATGGATTGGATGGAAAGAGGATCGAAAATAGAAAATACACTGAATATCAGCAAAATTTTTAGATTTGGTATAAAAATATTCGATATCAAATATTCCTCTCATTTCAGTTGAGGTACAGAAGTTTGCTACTTGAATAATCCTGAAACAATTCAAATCAATGGAAATTGGTTTTCGTGGTAGGAATTGAATTTGTATGACTATTTCAATGACAGAAAAGTTAGTTATTTTGAGGTGGCCTCTCGCAGAGATTTATGAAGGTATATTATTTGATCTGTGAGTAACAGGTCTACGATGAAAAAATTGTAGGATATTTAACTAGTGATTTTAACAGTATTCTGTGTGCAGATTACGGAAATGATAGTAAAAAATTAGGTCGAAAATCACCTGAATTTTTTTTATTGGATTGGTTTTTAGGTTCGGTATGGGTTCGATGTTTCTATATTATACAGCGTGACTCACGGTCGATGGTAGGTTAGACGTTTTTGGAAAACGCAAACCATGATTCTTCTGAAAATTTCACCTCTCACATTTCCTTACGTGTTCTATCGATCTGAAATATTTTAGCATTGCGGCATTGCCACTTCCATCAGTAAGTCTTAGCAACTTTATTTTTTTAATGGAACACCCCATATATTAATACATTTTTGAAATCGCTCTAGTATTTTAATACTTTTTTGTTAATAATGTCCTATACCTATCTCTATCTGTTTTCGAGATAAAAACTGAATTGTGCTAAATAAGGTCCAAAACATAGCCTTAATTGAAATTAAGTACATCAGTATTCTCAATTCATGAAAAGTTCATATTTTGATGATAGTTTGGATAAACTCGAAATATTCAAATAACACCAAGAAATCGACTCCATATCATACAGGGCGTGCTAAAAAGGGATTCACAAAAATGCATTCTACGTTCGAAGCCTTCTGCTTTTAGAGCTTGAACTTAAAACTTGAACTAGAGCAACAAAATTCGTTGTACTGGAACATGTGATACACCTAAATCTTTTTCTGCACTGCGAATGGAAGCTCCTGGATATGCATAAAAATATGCCAAAACGTTAACAGTATTGTCCTCATTTGAAGTAACAGGTTTTGATACTGTTGAAGGCGCTTTTAATATGGAGCCATAGTTAAGGAAATTATTTTGTAATCTTACAAACTTCCTCTCGTTCATTGGTGTTAATTCACTTTGTTCATGTGTATAATAAACAATTTCATAACAACTTCGTTCGAATAATCGATATTTGCATTCATTTTGGAAGATGATTCGTAACACCTTCGATAACTCTTTGTAAATTACTTATAAAAGTAACCGAACTGCTATAAGCTTGATAATTCCACTGCTACCTAAATCAAAATAATGTTTCTAGAAGAAGCGGCTTTATTGAGAAAACTTGACGATTTAGGTATAGGGACATGATATATCATCTTGAAGCATTTTTCACCATTTTTCAAATTATCGAGTAAAATATAGGGAGTTTCATTTGAAAAAATTAACTTTTGACTACTTTTATGCACAATGGAAATAATAGTATTTTAGGACGCCCTGTATGATATGGTGTCGATTTCTTGATGTGATTTGAATATTTCGAGTTTGTCCAACCTATCATCAAAATATCAACTTTTCATGAATTGAGAGTACTGATGTACCTAATTTCAATTAAGGCTATGTTTTGGACCATATTTAGCACAATAAGTATAGGACATTATTAACAAAAAAGTATTAAAATACGAGAGCGATTACAAAAATGTATTAATATACGGGGTGTTCTATTTAAAAAAAATAAGTTGCTAGGACTTTTTGATAGAAGTGGCAACGCCGCAATGCTGAAAATATTTTAGATCGATAGAACAAGTAAGAAAATGTGAGAGGTGAAATTTTCAGAAAAGTCATGCTTTGCGTTTTCCAGAAACATCTAACCTACCATCGACCGTGAGTCACGCTGTATAGTCTATATAAACCGTACATTGAGTCTGAATTATGAAGCTTTTATGATGAACAAGTTACTACACAATGTGGGTGTATATCTTAGATAAAATACGGTTTTAATCTATTTATTTCAATAACAAAACGAATCTAAACTGGAAGAATCCAGTTCCTACTGGAACAAGGCATGTATGTGACAGTCTGTCTAGACTTAAAGAAAGACATATGTTAGCCTTTGGTGTTTCATTTTCATGTTACCGATTCAGAGAAAAGGAATTTGTCCCTTTTTTACACAAGAGGGTGACCTAGTTTTCTGCAACAATGTACTCGGCGTCATGGAAATGTTCAACATAACATATGAACCAGAGAAATGATTCGAAAGCTATACTTCTTCACAATGGGAACCAATATGCTTCTGTGCCTGTTGAATACTCAGACCATTTGAAAGGATGCTACGAAAATCTTGAATTTATTCTTAATAAGCTCAGCTACTCCGATCATAAGTGGACCATTTGTGGAGACTTGTGAGTATTTTCAATGTTACTAGGTCAACAAAGTGGTTACACTAAGTTTCCATGTTTCGTATGTGAATGGGATATCCGTGACAGGAAACAACACTATATGTCAAGCAGGTGTGGCCAATAAGAGAGGGTCTTATTCCCGGAGTTGAAAAACAAAGTTTAGTGGATCCTAAAAAAATGTTACTTCCACCACTCCATATCAAATTGACTTCCACCACTCCATATCAAATTGGGGCTAATGAAACAGTTTGTGAAAGCATTAGACAAAGAAGAAGATTGTTTCAAGTATCTTTCTGAAAAGTTTCCTGGTCTATCCGATGCTAAACTAAAAGAAGGAGTCTTCGTTGGGCCTGACATAAGAAAACTTTTTAAGGTCACAAAAATCGGTTTTTTGCGA